TCTGGCGTAGTTTGATTATGTTTCAGTGGGGGTTTTTTTTTACGGGTGTGTTTTTAGAACAGGCCTGTTATTTAATTCGATTTTAAAACAAACTATTTATTTATTATCGTGGTTTTTAGTATCGCCTGTTCACCGCCCTGAGTCCCGCAAGGGAGATAGGGCGGTATATAAATTTAATAAATAAATAAATAAATAGCGTCGGGTGCTTACCAGTGTCCTTTTTTGCAATAATGTAATAAAGTAATAATTCAATGCTATAAACTATTGGTTTTTCTGTATCATTTTAAGAACCACTGGTAATATTATTGTCTCAACATTTCTGAAGAGATTACTGCACTGCATAAAGCAGGGGTGTCAAACTTGCAACGTCACATGACGTGTCATGACATATCACGACTTTTTTGCCATTGCCGGCAATGGGGTGGGCGCAGTTTTGCTATGATGCATCCGGCCCATGCAGTTTGACACCTCTGGCATAAAGGATAATTCTGGCAAAGAAGTACAATCAGAGAACAGTTACAAGGCAACTGTAGTTTTTTTATCTTCATATACTGGAACTTTTTTTTTTTTTTTTTTTGTGGTAGAAGGAAAAGTGTCAGCTATATACTAGTTGAATAATTTTACCTTTTGTCGGGGGCTGCTCTGGAAAGATTCCGGTCATGCTGCCTTTCTTTTCGCCTGTCATGCCTGATTTCATCACGTTCCCTAACTTCTCCATCCTCTAGATAAATTTGAGATACAAGTTGACCCAAAATTAATTTAAAAGTGATCAAATTCATTATAAGTTACTTATGCAATAAAAATCACTGAAGGTTAATATTTGGGAGTAAATATCACTAAATTATGGAATTTACCTCTAGTTTAGGGATGGGCAACTTTTTGGGGACAAAGGGACACACAATTTTTTGGGAAACTGATGTCTACAAAATATGTGGGACCTGGAATTATTTTGGGAATTAAAAGATATGCTTGCTTTTAGGGCTTACACTACAGCTTTCTTTTATTTCCCACTTCAAAAGGGAAGGAAATTTAACAACTGTGACTAGATAGGGAATGTGAGGGGACAAAATAGGATTGGTTGCATCTGGCTCTAGGACCACAGGTTCTCTAATTCATTTTTACATGAACATACATGCAATCCGGAGGCAGTCCTGTACGTGAAAAGCAGCATACATAAAAAGGTAAGAGACTGATAAGCAGACCATTCCTGCAGATTCATTGCAATCTGCCCAACAAGATTGTTCAACAACAGGTTTAACAAAAAATATCTGAAATATTTTGAAATGGAACACTTGAAAGGTGGCACCTTTCTCCATGTGAGTTTTGATTCCAGCTCTTCGTTCCCTGGCCTTCTGGGCCATTTCCCGAAGTTTCTCCTCATGTTTCTCTTTTTCCTTCTGAGCCATCTTGCGTTCTACCTGGGCTCGCATTTCTACAGCCTCACGAGCCTGCACAAAATTCAGAATTTAAGCAATCATGATAGCAACATTACTTTACATTTTGGATTGTAATGTAAACATGGAGATACATCCCAGAATTTAGCCAGATAGAATATTGGGCAGTAGAGATGGGCAGCATATAAATTTGATAAACAATGACCTTTCTATCAGCAATGTAAAGAGCTTCTGCCAATTTAGCAAAGTTTTCATTAATGTGTACAGTCTGCAATCCTCTACCATCTGCAGCCAGGCGTTTGTCTAATGGGATGGTGTAACCCTGCAATAAAGAGAAAAGGCATTTAATGACCATAAAAAGTATTTCTACTACAAAAGCAGATCCATAATTTTAATTTAATTTCAGTAGAATGCAGCAGGAAAGTTAGTCTACACGTGGCTTAATAAATACTCATTTTGAACTTTTATTATGGAGACACTTAAAATACTTTTGCTATTATGCTATAATGTTTTATTACACTAAACAAGCCTCTATTTGTGGAACTAATTTCAGTGATTAGCAACTGACATGGTTGCCCTACCCTATCTAAGTTGTTATTCTAATATCCAACTAATGGGAAAAAATAAACTACTTTTTAAAAGTAGCTTGTTTACTCAGTTCTAGATATTTCAAAGTAATCCAAATTGTTTATTTTTCAGTGAGATTCTTAGGATGCTATCTGTAGGGTATGTCGTTGTAACCAATTAATTACCTTTGCATTTTTCCAGTTTGAAATACAAGGTGGAATTTTCCATTCTTGCTGCTCCTTTACAGTCATCTACACAGAAAATAGAAAGGTTTTTTTATTTTTATCAATGGAAAGGGAATTTCTCAATACTATAGCAGAATAATAAATAGCAAGTACCAATTTACATCAGAGTGATTTTGAAGATCTGTCTTTTGGAAAGTGAAAACTAAAAGAACTTTTCAATAGTTTGAAGTACAAAGATGGACTTTTTAAAATCATCTAATCATGTTCTTTTTTAGAAGCACCAAGATTTGAGGACTCAGCTTACGGTAGGTCAGCTCTAAGTTGTAAACTGAGAACTTCTATGCATCCTCACTCCTGATAGTTTTCCTAATAGTTTTGAAAGCAACTTCAGCAACTATCAGCTCAAAGAACATGCTATTTTTCTGTAAAGTGATTCCTGTACCACCTGAGTTGATATGAATGTACAACGCTAACAATGCTGAAGTATATACAGAACTATTTACTTTTTTTGCCGATTGCCCAACTCCATATAGTATTCTTTTATCTATCTATCTATCTATCTATCTATCTATCTATCTATCTATCTATCTATCTATCTATCTATCTATCTATCTATCTATCTATCTATCTATCATCTATCTCTATATGGCAAGAATAATCATGCATGAGATCCCATTATAAGCATCTCCCTTCCCACCAGAGTGGATAGGATGGGCATGTTCCAGGTCCTTTCTCTTAAGCTTTGCCTTCTGTTGGGCCCTTGGAAGCATGTATTTTCTACTGCAGCCCCAATCCTATGGAACATCCTCCCTCCAAAATCCAGGAGGTCTCCTCTCTTTTAACCTTCAGGGGAGACCCAGGTTAAGATTTGGCTCTTCACTTAAGCATTGGGAGAGGGTGAGGTTAGAGTGGGAGTGAAAGTGTGGGTTGCATTAGAGAAGTGTGGATGTGTGCTAGAATTATTTATAACTATACAGGTTTGTGGGAAATTAACAACAAAAACAATAATATAAACATGAAAACAAAGACAACTTGGAGGAAGAAACCAGCTGTGACAGCATTACCTTTCTACTGGGAGAATGCATTACTGGAGCAGGAGGAGATGGCGGCCCACGAGGAATTTTCTTATTAATCCTAATATGTGAAAATCATAGCATCATTAGGACTTATACAAAAACCTCTTATTTCTGAATAAGACGTATTTCTAAAACCCACTTGAATCTTGGAGGCTCCATGGGATCCTTTTGCATCTCCACCATTCTAATAACTCTCTGCTTTGCACCAGAATTAAATGCCACTCCCTGCTGTGATGGTGTGTATCTGACAAAGTGAGAAAAAAGTCTTAGTACAAACTTTCATTACGTTTACCAGTTTTGTTACGAGATGGGCGGCAAATAAATAAATTTTCCAGCATTGCTGTACTTTTAGACTGTACACACGGTTTTTTATCTATCAAATTTGTTTTACACACAGAACAAAACTTGATATTCCACATTCTATCCAATTTTACTGAGCATATACAGAATAAAATTTCCAGTTAAATGTCTTATTGCTTCATAGACATTACTGTGCTTATTTACCTTTTATGGACCATGAGACTGATACATATTTCCAAGATAAAATTCATTACCAGGAATGAATACAAATAACAACACGACAGTTTTTTAATTTTCCTGTAACTGCTCCTGTTTTCGCATAATCATGTGAAGAAGGCATATATTGTAGCTATATAAAAAAAATAAACAATACAAAAAGTATTGTATACCGAATATATTGAGCTGGACCTAGTTTATCAGCTGCTCGGACTGGCATTGCTGCTGCAATTTTTTGAGAGACAGACTTTTCCAGTGCAACTCGTGTCTTTTCTGTAAGCTGCAAATACATATAATACATTAAACATTTTGACAAAATGTGCATGCCTCCCTCAGCTAAGAAATAAGAGATGAGCACCGTGCCCTGGAGTCGGACACAATGGATGGGGGAAATCTTTACCTTTTTTTACCATTTACCAGTTACATGCATCATCACTAGCTATACCTCTTTGACAGCATCCTCATCTGGTCTTTGAAGCTCAGGGTCATCCACATTCATAATTTCTTTGGGAATGAGGTCTGTGTATTTGCTGTAAATGACCTGAAACATGAAAAAGATCACTAAAGAAAAGGAACACTGTAGATTAAAAAAAAAGGCTCTGCAGCTTTTTTAGAAAGCTGGACTAATTTTCCAGCATTGAACAAGCTCCATAATATCTAATATTACGTCAGAATAAGAATAAAAACTATCATATAATATTCTTAGCTTTAGATAGGAGAGATACACATAAAACTTTCCTGAATTCTGTTTTTTGGTAATCAAAGATCTAGGAATCTTTTCCATTTTGGAACCACAGTTATCTTGTTTATCTACATTTTATGATGCAGAAATTTGGCTAAAGAAAAGTGTAGGGACTTGTTCTGGCAGTCTCTAAGAATTGGACACAATTTAATGAAAGAAAAAAGTAATCTAAACCATCTTTCCAAGCTTTTATGATTGTAACAAGATGGCATATTCTTGGATTGGAGCAGTATGTTTCTACATGGTCTAGATCAATTTTGCACATGTACTCTGCAGGCTGTGTCTTATGCAGTCTTGTGGAGCCCACTGGCATTTTTTGAAAAACAAGCAATCCATGCCTCTGGGAAGGAGTGCCACTACCACATAGGCTCTTGCAGCCACTTTCAGTATGAAAGACACAACACCTCCAAGCTCACATATACTGCTAGCTCCAGTGATGCCTGATCGGTGCACCAGCTGTTGCTTGGGGGCTCACAATTATTTTAAAGATTTCAATCTGGACCTTTCCCCTCAATGAACTGTTCAAGCCTGTTCTACATTTTTTTTCTGTTTAAACAAGTTTTACTTTATCACCAATATAAACTTTTTATATCATCACATTATTTTTGCTTGTATAGTATTTTTTAAAATATGATTATTTTGTCCATGTGATGACATTAAACTGTTTTATGTATCACAATTTGCACTAATGTTACCTTTATTCACTCGCACTGATGCTTACTTACTTAGGTAATGAAATGTCTACAAACAACCACCAAGCTTAAACAGCACCAAGGACTCCACAGTTCAGCCCTGAGCTATATATATATATTGTCTTCTATCACAACTACAATTCTTTGTTCAAATGGGTATATATTGCTCATTAGAGATTGTTCTAAATCTTCGTTCATCTGTCTGCAATAAAAGACTTGAGTCCTAATAATTTAGCATAGGAGACATCAATTCTCATCCAAGAATTTCCAAAATTAACAATCCCTAAAATGAGTACCCACAGAATCACATTTCACAAAGTGAAATGAAAGACATTTAAAGAGCAATTATTTCTTTATTGTAATCGCCCATAAAACTCACAAGAATCTCAATGCATAAAGAACCAAATCTACTTCTAAGACCAAAATAAATAAGTAATCAATCAATCCTAGGAAATAAAATGCAAAGAAGTTCTAAATAGAATAATTAAAATAAGACCACTCTTTAACATAAGGTCAATAAATGGACTTTAGTGTGATAAACTTTGGAAGTGAATAATAATTTTAGAATTAGCCAGTGGCCTACCTATCTGTGAAATTTGCTTCAAAACACCTAAATAAACTCCATGTGCCATGGCAATACTGTATAACCTCGTACTGTACTTTAGAATAAGCTATTTTTCAGAAGTAGTCCTTGACTTATGACAATTGGGACAGGAATTCCCTGACATGGCACATTTTTCTTGTGCTGTGGAGGCTTTCCAGGTGTTTGGTGTTTCCAGGGGGAGTTGCTGCTTCACTATCTATTGTAGAGGATTCTCCAGCATTGGACGCTTCGTGCAGGTTGGCTGCTTTGTTCCCCACCACCACCACTGTGAAGGCTTCCACAGTATTGGACGTTTCCCAGAATGTGGTGCATTTTTACTGCAATGCTGGGTCAGGCTGCGGCAGCTGAAGCTTCTTTCCCAGTCTCCCCGCACTTACTGTATGCCGCACTACAACACCCACAACTTGTGTGCAACCTGTGCTTGGCCTCCCAGGAACCTTCATCAACCTCAATACATCCCCATGTTCCTTACTCCGCTTAACAGCCTGTGATTCTTGCCTAACACTGGAAGCTGGGAGTGCCAGATGTTAAGTGATGTGGTCATGTGACATCTTGCTTTACAATGGCTTCTCTTAGTGACTGAAATTCCAGTCCCAATTGTGGTTTTAAGTCAACATGACTTATACACGAGTGAAGATTATTTATAATTCAAATTTTATAATCACCCATCTCAATATATGGTTCACAATTAAAAAAGCACATAAACACCAAAAATATAATTCAAAAACAATATAAAAAACTATATAAAACATATAACAAAATTCATAGTTGAGGTAGTCAACATTAACAATAATCAGCAAACAGCAAACAATACAGGCTCCAACAATCATGGCCAGAAGTCTCTTCTACCCATAGCCCTGAAGAGATAGCACAGAAATACGCAGACCAATAAAACAATGTAGGTAATAGTTAGGTAGTGGTAATACTTAGGTATAGAAAGAGAAATGTGTTCCTTGACCATTCTGTATATGGACAAATATATTGCTTCAGACTGAAATTATTTCTTCAGTGCTGCTTGCCCACAGAAATAAATTAATTTACTACTTTATTCCATATGTAGCTAATAATCACAAAACCCAGGAGTTGCTATATTACTAAGGGTGCAACAATTCAGAAAAATATTATGCAAAATATAATCCCATTTTCCTAAATATACTGCAGTACCAGACATGTGAGAATATAGAATTTCTAAAAATGTAATATAGTTGCTTCTTGAATTGAGACACTTCCAAACATATACTAATTTATTTCACAATAGTTTTTTTGTTTGTTTAAAAACAAAATATTAGGGCATATTTCACGATTCATTTTTTTATGATTTCATTCATTTCATGATTTCATTTCTAGGGAAAAACTAAAAACATCTTCAGAGAAAAAAAGAGAAAGATCTGAATTTCTTTCTAAATCTTTCAGCACTTTAAAAAAGCCTTTACATTTTTTCTTCTGAACACCTTCTCCATTATTCATAACAAAACATTTTAGTAAACTGAAGCAATTATACTTTAAATATAAACTTTTGAGAGTCCTATTACCTTGTCTTTTGATTGTCCTTGCCGAGCTATAGCATCGTATTTTATTTTTCCTTCGGCATCCACCTGAACAGCTAACGCATTGGACATTTTCTTTTTTCGGCCCATATCCAGAGGATATTGGGCAACATGGATTTCTGGGAAAGCACCTCCATCTCCAAAATCCTACACAGAAATAAAAATGAATGTGATTAGACTGTGGACAAGAGCACAAAATACTGTAATTAAGAGTTGAAAGTTTATTTAAAAATAATAGAAATTAAGATCACATGTTTTGGAACAATCAAGACATTTTTGGCTTTCTGTGTATTATTCTCATCCAACATAAAATGTTTCTGAAAGTTGTTTGGTTTCAAAACTGATTTTCCATTGATACGTAGAAAACTTTTTCCTCCAAAAGCCGTATGTTTAGATTGAAATTGTGTAGTTGTCGTGTAGCCAGTTACATCCTATGCTGTAATCCTAAACACATTTATTAATCACGTATATACTTTTGAAACGATGTGCTTAGCAACAAATACAGATATTATACCAGCAAGTATTATAGCATATATTTCTAGCATTTTCCCCTCCCCTCGGAAAGGCTCCAAGGCAGCGGTTCTCAACCTATGGGTCGCGACCCCATTTGGGGTCGATCGACCATTTCACGGGGGTCGCCAAGCAAGGCTGTCTGCCATTTTTTTCCCCTTTTCCGGCGGGTGCCTTACCTCCCTTGGGCTGGGTCAGCTGGTGGTCGGCCTGCTCAGTCTCTGCCGCTTGCCAGCTACGCCTCGGCTGGTGCAGGGGGCGGAACCACGCATGTGCGGCGCTCCCGGGCAGGGAAAGTCCTCGACTTATGACCGGTTGGGTAGTCCTTGACTTATGACCGGTTTAGTCCTTGACGTACGACCGGTTTAGTCCTTGACGTACGACCGGTTTAGTCCTCGACTTACGACCGGTTAGGGGTTGCGGCATTAAAAAGGTTGAGAACCACTGCTCCAAGGGGAGAAAAACACTACCTCAGAACCTGATGTTTGCTATCATTTTCCCTTTCCTCTGGGAGGCTCAGAAAGGTTCTGGAGAAGGGAAAATGCTAGTGAACACCAGCTTTCTGAAAGGCTCAGAATCCTGGTGCTTCCTAGTGGTTTTTGCCAAATTTGAGGTCCATTCTTCCCTTCTTGCACGGAGGGGAGAGAAATCCCTTTGGGCACCTGAGGAATGGACCTCAAATCTGGTGAAAATGCTAGGAAACAGCAACATTCTTGTGATTGTTTTCCCCATTAGGATAGGAAGAGGATCTGGGCCTTCTGGTTGTGGTTGGAGGACCCGGTCCTCTCTCTGCTCCACCATGTCTGGGAGGCCTGGGCCACTTCCACTGATCCACTTAATGACTGCAACTGGAAGAACTGGGTTGCAGTCACTAAGCAAACTAGTCATGAGTCATCTCATTTAATGACCACTTTGCTTAGCAACAGATTCTGAACACAACTGTGCTTGTAAATGAAAAACTACATGTACTTTATTTCTCAGGTGATCAAACATGTATCCCTGGGTAGCTTTAGAAAATCTGCCCAGATTATTGTCCCTTTTGAGATCTGGATGGTACTTTTTATGCTGGGGATTGGCTAGAGATAAAAATCATGGTGGGTGGTCTGCCATAAAGTGAGAAAACATGGGGGAGGGTTCTTTGCCTCAGTTAAGTGTGGATTCCAGACGATAGTAAGACACTAACTTGGGCTTACTAGATTGGCTGGACAGTTGTCTATTTCTATTATAGATGAAACAAAGGACCTACAAAGACCCTCATAACTTGGCTCAAAGATATCTTCAGGATTTCCTTGTATAGAAGTACTTAAAATCCCTTGAGAGATTGGGGTGCAGAGACTATGCTTTTCTGGTACAGCTTTCTTCCACCCTGATGTCCTCTAGGAAGATTATTCAATCTTGAACTGTTATTACTGGATTGAGCAACAATGGACATTAATTAATTTGGTATCTTTAATTGTGTTGTTTATTATGCTTTTATGGTTCACAATAAAAAGCATAAAAACATAGTAAAACATTTTAGATTGCAAAATGTTTGACAACTAAATCTGGGCAAAATACACCTAGACAACAAATTCAAGGATTCTGAATTTGGAACATCTAAGTTGACTTTAGGAGAAAAAAACATTTTAAATAAAATCTACATATTGCATTTAAAATCCAGACTTATCTTTTAAGAGTGAAATCATTTCTGGTGGCTAAATGAATGCAAACTATTATTTACCTCCAACATTCGTGGTATCCATCCTTTCCGATAACCGTAAGGAGGCGGCTCCCTTCGTGATGACACCAATGCAGTCTGTCTCACTCTCTGAGATCTTGCTCTCTCTTCTAATTCCAGTTGGTCCTGAGACAACTGGGTTGGTGCTGGTAAGAAACTAAGCAAACGGAAGAAGAATTTAATATTGTTCTCTTTCTTTGTGACACATAACTTTTATTCCAACAAAATATTTTTTTAAAAACGATTCTGTCTTTCACTATAAAATACCCACAATGCTTAACATTGTTCAAATATTTTGGCAACTGCACCCGTGGAGGAAAGATTCATTTTCTCTTTTGTCATCTTCAGTTCTGAATTGTTTTGTTTTCAGAGTGGTTTAGGAACTCAGAAGCTGCAAGTTCTATTTCAGTTATTCCAAATAATAACTACTTCAGATTTTGAGCTTTACAGATTGAGCTTTATATACAACTGACAAATTAAAACTGAAGATATAAAGTTAATATATGAAAAATGCTTTGTTTGGGGCTAGGTAGTGTAAAAAACGGTCCACTCTGCTTAATATACCCAGCAGTGGCTTTCAATCCCACCTGGAATTAACGATTTGCGCATATGGAAGCCATAATTATCAGCAATCTCTCCTCTACGATCCTTGCCCGGTGAAAACCATTTTAAATTTGAACTTCAATTTTCGGTACACTATGATTAATCAATCAATCACACCCTACCGATACTAATTGGGGGGGGGGGCAAAGAAGGGGTGGCCATCCAGCACCTTCTTTTTCTGGATAGTCGACCAATCTCGTACGGCCAAACATTTATTTTTTTTGTGAACCGAAGCTTTCATTTCTGAATGGATTTCACTATTCTTATTAAGGGCACTAAGTGGGGGGGGGGGCGGCGACGGCGGGGGAAACAGGCCGGCCGAAACGGCCTGTGAAATAAGCGCTAAAGAAAATTCCCGGATCACCCCAGATCTCCCTAACGCAATCTTCCCGTAATCCATTCGCTTTGCCTCAGACCACGATGTGCATATATCTAGGTTTACAGCATATATATATATTTTTAAAAAAACACGAAATCCGGGAACAAGTCAACAACCTTTCCCTATGTCGTAATAAACTCCCGCTTCTTCCCCCCCCCTACCCACCTGGTCAGCGCCATTTTCTTGTTCTCCTCCCTCCTCTGCGAATCCTGTGTTGCTGATGGTGAATGATACCCACCCAGAAGGAAGTGAGGTATCAACGGCACTCTGGGAGTTGTAGTCTTTACGGGTTTGTAAGCTAAACTGGAACACGTGAGTCCCACTTCGCCAACGCTTTACACACTAGAACGCTTCCGCGGAGGGTTTTTTTCTTTTTCTTTTTTGTAACGGATATAAAGAAATAGTTGAGGACTTTGTTGGGAATGTGATTCTTCTGGATACAGATTGTCTTTCACATCTATCTCCATTAAAAAAAGGGGGATGAGAGGAGAGCTGGAAGTTACTTTCAAATGTACTGTAGTCCAAAATTTAAAAACGGAAAATAGCTGAAAATGACTGAAGGTTACAAAACAACTACTATAGTGTAGGACAGGGCTTTTCAACCAGTGGTACAGGTACCACCTGTGGTACAATGGCACCTGGCAGGTGGTATGCGAGCATCCTAGAAAAGTGGTAGTGGGGGAGGGGAATGAGAGCACCGCCGGGTGGGCAGGCAGGTTTCTTGCTCAGCTGTGCCTTGGGGGGGCACTTTTTTCAGTGCCACTGTAACTTTGAACAGTCACTAAGCGAACTGTTGTAAGTCGAGGATTACCTGTACTTTATCACTTTTTTCCTTTTTTTTTTTTTTTTTTTTTGGTCATGAAGTTTTTGACACCTTGCTAGGTGACTGGTGATACTCAGATATTGCCATATCCTAAAAGTGGTACAATGGGTGAAAAGGTTGAAAAGCCCTGGTGTAGGAAGTCAGCTCCCCAGAGAAGGAAATATTAAAAGGGCAGAAAAATATATTTCCTCAAAGGATCTTAAAGAGGCAGAAAAGCATGCCCAGTTTTCTTAATAGCCCCAAGTCTGCCTCCCCCAAGCAGAAACCAGCTCTGTACAAATGCAGATGTAAATAATCCAGGAAGATTGGAAGCCCCCAGCTAAAAAATTAAGAAGACAAAGACACCTAAAATCTACATACCCTACCCAAAGTGTAAGACAGGACATAATAGGATTAACTCACATATGCCAAAGGGCACACCCACACTCAGGTCAAAATACATGACACAGGAAATACAAAGCCTGGAACAGGAAAAACTCCAAACAAAAGGCTCCAGAAGGCATAAAAACCCACTCCCTACATGTCCTCTCTCTCTTTTATTCCAGAGCCATCTTTCTGTCTGGCTCTCCTTTTCAATAAACTGCAACCTTCTTTCTAAAGCAGTCGCCATGTTGTTTATCCCCGGCTTGGACTGAACCATGATGAAGACTTTTCCTTCAACAGTAGGAAGAATATTTCATGTAATTCTTTAATAGCACGAGATATTTTTTTTTGCAGGAAAAAATAATTTGGAAGGATTGGGGCTATACAAAATACAAGAAAGCCTTTTTTAAAAAAACTTTTTTTATTGTGTCTATTACTTTAGAAATAACAACACAGGGAACAAACCTAATACTCCTTTCTCCTCCTATTTTCCCCGCAACAACAATCCTGTGAGGTGATTTGGGATGGGAGAGAGTGATTAACCAAAGTAAGCCAATTAGCTTTCATGTCTAAAGCAGCACTAGAACTCACAGTCTCCTGGTTTCTACGCCAGTATCTTACCAGCACCTCAAACTGCCTCTCATTCAACACTGAGTACTTCTATACCGAGGACAAATTCCTTATGTGTTTAATCACACTTGGCCCAATAAGATACTCAATTCAATTCTTTACGAAACTTTCACAATATATGGAATGTAAAAATAAATAAATTCCTTGATAACACCAGTAGACGTTGATATCAGTTCAAAGTAAAAACATAGATAAGCCTAATGTACAGGACTAGTTAAAATATGTTTCCACAGTATTTTACCTAACCCACAATTAACTGAAGAGTGGTCTGTTCAACCAGGAAAATACCTGGGGTTTATATAAAGCACTGAACCATCAATGATTTGTTTGCTGAGTTCTCACAACACACACACAACGCAACCTTTTACTTTAGTTTAACATGATGGACAAGACAAGTGAAATATTCTTAACTGGAGGCAAACTGAAAATACAGCTCTCTGAATTATCTGAAATAGTTCAATAAGGATTTTTAGCTATTAATTGTTTAATTACAGCACAAAAAAGATTGGGATTGTACAATATGCAAAGTCAAAATGAATCATTTTTATTTACTGTACTGTATTGTGATATGTGAGTACAGCTAAAACTTTTTACCTTTCTCCCAAATTAAAAATAATCTCATATACCTGAGATCTCCCTGTTTTGCTCTACATGACTAAAGTTACTCAATTTTTATAAGATTATTTGGAAGTACAGTAGACCTAAATTTCCAATGTCTTACTTTCAGTCTAAATATGTATGAAATTGCAGCCTCAATAGGCTTAGAAAAGATTAATACTTAAGAGCTAAGATTTTGGCTGAACGCTCTGTCACATGATATGCTTACCCATATTTAACTACAGTATGTTTATTCAGTTTGTTTATTCAGTACAATTTTCTAGGTTCATATAACATTGAACTATGTATTAACCACAGATTGTGTTCACACATCATTTCTTATATTTATATATCACCTTATTTCGTGGAATTCATGGTGGGAGACATGATTTTGTCTATTTTGTCTATTTATTCTCATGACAATATCAGATAAATACAATCGAGATATTGGAATGGAGTTTGGACTGGATAAATGTGCTATCCTCACCACCAACAGAGGAAAAATAGAGAAAACTGGAGGAATAAGATGCCCTAGGAAATAACATTGAGACTCAGGATGAAGACAATGGCTACAAATACCTGAATGAAGATCAGAAAGTCCAAATTCCGTGGAGGCAATACTATCAAGGCAATTAACCTGGGCAATTCCAGTCATTAAATAGGCAGCTAGAACAGTGGACTGGACTCAAGCAGAACTAAAAGCTCTGGATAGGAAGACCAGAAAAACAATGACAATGGATCATGCTCTTCATCCATACTGAAGGGTTCTGTAACTGGAACAAAAAGAAATTGTTTAGCCTAACTATTGCTATCTCACTTTTGTAATCAGCGTTTGCGTCAGGGACAAATTTCATGCAAGTGTGGGAAACATGTACGTGGATGGGATGTACTGAAGGAGGGAATAAGGGAGTGATTGATGTCTTCCTTATGAGGAAATGGCTCTGTTGTCTGATTTTTATTGGCTGACAAAGTTCATAAAGTAATGCTATTAACTTTCTAAGGTGTGGCACTTCTGGACGTAACTCTGCCAGCGTTCCAGATTGTTTGCCACCCAGCTGTTTTATTTGGTCAATTAAAGCACTGTTTCCTCAAGAAGCGTTTGAGTTGCCTGATTAGACTTTTAATGGTATCTCATATTTAAGTAAGGGCCAGTGGCCTTACAATACAGTGATATTGACAGACTCTACCTGCCAAGGAAAATAGATGGGCATGGAATGTTCCAAGTATACCAGTTAGTTTGAAAAGAAAAAGACATTGGGAGAATATCTGAAGGCTGCTGGAAAAGATGAATTGAAATTAATATACCATGAAGGCTTAATGAGTACCGGAGAGACCAAACTGGCTTACAAGAAAGAGCAAAGGAAGAATAGAAGAGACATGGCAATACATTAAAAAATAGCATGCAAAACAGATAACAATACCTGCCACTGCCTAAGAGCAGGAAAAGAGATGGGGCTAATTCTGGCTTCACAAGATAAGCTTTAAAGACAAACGCATCAAAGCCAAAATCGAGAAGACAGCAACAAACAGGAAACGTCATCCCCTGCAAAGAAGCTGAAAAAACTGGACCACTTACTTGCTGCAAGAAGATCGCACAGACTGGCTGCAAACAATATGTATGACAAAGTAGCAACAATAGTGCATTGGAATATCTGCAAGTAATACCTTTTGCCTGCATTTTCAACCTTCCATGTTGGCTTCTCACAAGCAAAATCTATGAGGAAGCTGGCAGAAAGTCACAAGTTTCGAAACTTGCTCCGGTTGCTTTTTTAATGTTCTGTGCTCTGTAATACCTGCCTGTGGCACCTGCTCCCCCCTGCTCCCATGCTATGTAGCACATGCCTGCAGAATCCACCCACCCACACTCTTTGGTGCCTCCTGTACCACCTATCTGGAGCTTTCACTCACTGACCTACTTGCTTGGAACTCCTGTCTTTTTCCACACTGCAGTCCCGTGAAGTCCCCACCTAACAATGGACATGGCCCTGGAGTTATGATGGCAATGAGGACTGCTGGGATTGCCGTTGCTAAATGATGCAGTCATGTATTGTCAATCTTTACTCCTATATCCCTTAGAGATGCAAATTCTAGTCCTGATTGCAATTGTAACTTGAGTACTATCTGAATACCCAGTTGGCTTTATGTGCAACACAGACTTGGCCTTCTGATGTGAGCCTGCCTAAGACTTGATAGGTGCTTTGAGCAATATGTTGACTATACATTAGGTTGAAGAGAGATGCATATTAAAGTAAGTTATATCATTTGGTATAATTAACAAATGAAATGCACTAATGTTGATAGTGTTTTAAGAGTTTAAAACAAATTGTATTATTACATATTACTACATATTGTAGTTTGTATGATTTTCTATTTATATTGTGGTTTGTATTATTTTTATGGAGACTATATAATGGAGATCCCATTAAATTATAAAACCTTCCCATAGTGACTCCTTCAAGAAATCATGCAGATATGTGCCCTCTAGAACAGACATGTCAAACACAAGGCCCGGGGGCCGGATTCGGCCCATGAAGTGGTTTCATGTGGCCCACGAGGCCATCCTGGAAACAGTGAGGGAACGGCCCTTGCTGCCTTGGCCCTGGCCCAGGCTGGCCGGGAGCCAATGTACAATTTTGTGCTGGCCATCTATGCTGAAATGCATTCAGTCTTAGCTCCACAAGGCCATCTGGAAACAGCGAGGAACCAGCCCCTGCCGCATCGGCCCCACCCCCTGGATACATGCTGGGGAGGTGTCACCCTTTGTGAGGAATGAAGAAATGGACCATGCCTTGGCGCTTGCCCCAGTCCCACCCCCTTCTGCCAGAG